GATAAGAATAATATTGTAATGTATCGACGTTGTTCTATGTAAGAGATAAATGCATTACGTTGCTTATACATATATCACTAAATAAGTTTGGCTTATGTGCATTCATCCGTTTACGTTAAATAGCTCATGATCATATATTATTGAGATATCTGTTTTTTTTTTCGCATGAAAATATTACCTTTTGTTTTGCTTGTTCTATCACTCATCGATCGAACAACTTAAAGAACGGCAAGAGAGAGTAAATCGAAGATTAGTAAAAATATGCGCTATACCATGCCTTTCACTTGGTTTTTTCCCATCGTTGTGCAGGATCGATAAAATTTTAAGCGTTCATAAGCAATAGTATGCTGCTAAATGCCATTAATCCTACATACATTTAATAATAAAATAAAAGCATGGATTTGTTTAAAGATAATAATAATTATGAGACGTAAAGCAACACGATATAATACATAAATCAATAATTGATTTATTTTTTATTTATTTTTTGTTTTTAATAGCAATAATATCATAACTAGTCAAACTATAACATATAATTTTTTATTTTTATTTGTTGAATTTTCAGTCATATTGAGACCATCTTCAGAACGATGTAATCAAATATTGATTTTGATTTTGTTATACGACCTGTACCACCTACATAAATTCTTACACAACCAATAACAATAACAGGAGTTAATGTAAAGCCAGTACCATCTATAACATTATTAACTAGATCTATATCACTTTCATATCAATTACGATTGGAATTTCTAAATAGCGAAAATGAGTACCATGTTAACAGTTACTGTAATTCATACATTCATTTAATAATAAAATAAAAATATGGATTTGTTTAAACATAATAATAATGAGATGTGCTAGATCTTTTCTTCTTTTATTTTATTACTTTTCTTTTGTTTCGAAAAACAAACACGCAAATGAATAAAAAACAAAAAAAAGCAGCAAAGAGTGTGGTTCTCTCTCTTTCTCTTTCTTTATCCATGATAAAAGCACCACTGAGAAAGAAGAGTAAGAATTGCATTGATGTACAGTGATGATATCATAATAGAATAGATGGAGCCTCCTTATATAAGAAGAGACATCTCCTGACATAACACGATGTAAAGCAACACAATATAATACATAAATCAACAATTGGTTTATTTTTATATATTTTTTGTTATTATATCGTGTTTGTGCCAATAGGGATCTTATCCTATGTGATATCTTTTCTTTCTCAGTGTGTTACTATACAATCAATGATATGTAGTGTTCATAATCGCGTTACGGCTACGATCACTTATGCATGATTGAACCTTCTTCTCATTCTACATTATCATTCACTCGTATATTATATATGCGTTCTCTCCTTGGCCTCACTACCTCTTTATTCTTACGTTGTTCTCTCCTTCACCTCATCTTCTATCTTTCCATCATCGCTTGTTCTGCTCATGTATATAAACGTGTGCTTTATCTGTAAACGAGGCGATTGTATGATATGAAGGAATAAACTAAAGTGTAATATCATCAACATGAACAATCCTTATATCATTAATCGTCAGATGACGATAATATAATATGAAGAAATGGAAGAAAGTACATCTTCACCTACTATATCTTCCCGTCTATCATCATTTTTCGTCACACCGAACTCTTACTTAATTTTGTAAACGACTTCCTGTTTTTTTATTTTCTTGTTCATTATTTATTACACCTTCATAGTCATAGCAATAGAAAAAAGTAAGCAGAAAATTTTTTTTTTGTAAATGAAAAATTTTGTTGTATTTTAATGCAAAGTCAGACATTAGATACGAATAAGTTTTTTTTTCTTTTTCCAATGTTATTATTGTCAATTACCAAACAGTACATTTGTTCACTTGGCTATTACCTTGTCCCGGTGTACATTTAAATACTCGATCGAATTCATCAAAGTTCGATGTGGGACCGCGTATTCTAGAAAATTATCACAAAAGAGTATTTTTTATTTTAGACAAAATAAAAAGACTAAGAATAAGAACATGCAAAAAGCGACCCAGACAAGCATTCATATGCTACACTAGAACAACATCATACGACTAGCGAGAGCCCGTGCATACTGCACTGCTGTTTTTTTTCTCTAACGTATGATGGCGGACGTTTAACTTTTCATCCGGTAACAGACATACAGACACTCGATATTATGTATACGGATAGGTAGCCCTACGGCCTCATACTCTTACATCGCACATATTTTTATAGTGCATTAGCCTTCGGCCTTATAGCCTTATATCCATGGTAGCTCTTGTAGCATTATCTCCTTATTGCCTTACCCTCTTCTTGCCATACTCCCTTCAGAACTTATGGGTACCCTCATGTAATAGCCCTTGAGGATTTATGGGTACTCCAATTCGATAGCCCTTGAGAGCCTATGGGTACCTTCATAGGATAGCCCTTGAGGGCCTATAGGTACTCCCATATAATAGCTCTTGAGGGTCTATGGGTACTCCCATATAATAGCTCTTGAGAGTCTATGAGTATCTCTATAGGATAGTCCTTTACGACCTATGGGTACCCCCATATAATAGCTCTTGAGGACTTATGGGCACCCCTATAGGATAGCTCTTGAGGATCTATGGGTCATCATATAATAGCCCTTGGACCTTCTCCTTATAGCCTTATTTGACCTTTAACCTTTGACCCGGTACTGAAAAGCACACAGACAGACATACATTGAACTAGGTGTGGCTTGTTAGCATTAGTATTTCAAAAATGCTAATGCTTTAGGCATTAGTATTAAAACTAACCCTAATGCTTTAGCATTATTGGCATTAGAATTAATTAATGCTTAGGTGTTAGCATTAAATTAGCATTAGTTTTAACTCTAATACATAGTTTCCCAAAACAGAACAATTTTGTTCTGTTTTGGGAAATATGAT